GATAAAAGAACTCCTCCATGTCGATGCCGAGAAGGAAGATGAAGAACTTGTGTTCTGCAAAGTGGACATGTTGCGTGGGACTTAAACCATGCATCAATGCAATCAACATGGAAACAATGGTTGCATTTTGGAAGCTTCCGGAACGTGTCACCGGCGGTGAAGTCGTAGAGGCACACTGCACAGTGAGGGGTGTCATTGTTGAGAGGATTGGGTTTGAATGTGGAGACAGGAAGGTGGTGGTGGTGACAGCGTCGGCGACGAAAATGGTTGTAAATGGTGTGGAGGGAGAAGAAGAGGATGGTAGTGAATATTTTGTTGTTGTTTGCTTTGGTGATAATGGAATTGGCAAATTTGGGTATGAGCTCCTCAAGTTGATTTTCCATTGATGTGGTGAGTAGATTTCACAAAAAAATTGTAATAAAAGAGTACTCTCTATCTCTAGAATGTGAAAGGATTTTGGACTTCTTCCAAATAATTGTATTGTTGGCTTTACCTTAAGCCTTTATATAGATGTATGCTATGATGATGTAGTAAACTTAAAGGAGAAGTATTTACTTGAGGGAATGGGATGCCTTATGGGTCCTGCTCATTTCAGTGGGGGCTCATTTGGGTCATTTTTATAATTTAAATTATTTGTTTTATAAAATTTTATTAGAAGTTAGTAATCCAAAATATAAGATTGATCAGATATTATAAATCATTTAAAAGCATGTTATATTTATCTTTCACGAATAGAATGTTACAAAATTATATTTGTCCAATATTTTCAAATAAAATATGACCCAATTAATTAAATTTTTTATATAAAAGATTTATTAAATGGTAGTGAAAAAGTTAAAAAAATATTATAAATTATCACATTACTCTTTTTATTTTTCTACATATTTTTTATAAAAAGTTAAAAAAATATTAAAATAATATATTCCCAAATAAGGAGTTTTTTTCAAAAAAATATTCTATAAAAAAACAATTTAGAGAATTAACCCACTTTTCAAACTATTTGAGAAACTAATTTACTTTTTAAAATCATATGTTGAAATTGCAATTTTAAATTAAAATTACATTTTTAACATGTAATTTCACGTTTTAATCGCATGTTGAAAATGTAATTTATGATGACATAGACTTTACTTTTTGAAATTATATTTTCAACATGTGATTTCAAGGTGAAATTATATATTGCAAATGCAATTTTAATTTCAAAAAATAGGTTTGTTTGTTAAATAATTTGAAAAGTGAGTCAATTCTTCAATTTTTTTTTTTCTGGAATATTAAAAAAAAAAAAGAAAAAAAACTCCCCAACCAAGTCCTTACTTATGCCTTAAGCTACACTGAGATCCCCAAACAATTCCTTGCTTTTCCCTTAAGCTACGGTGCGATCCCCAATTCAAAATGCCAACTCTTCTTGTTTTCTATGTCAGGACTAAACAAAAGTGTTATACTGTTCAAAATTCAAATGCATGTTGCATACATAAATTTAGCCTTCCCTTTCAATGTGGATTAACTTTGTAATTTTTTATTTATTTTAGTTTGAGATTAAAAATTTTGTTTTGGATAAATTTTCTAACTTTTTTAACTTTTGTAAGAAAAAAATAAAATAATTATGATTTGGATATAACATTTTATTTTATTGACTTTTTAGTCTATTTTGTCTTTTGTGACTAAAATAATAAAAAAAACTCATGCCAAACATAGATTTAATGCACGTGATATGAATCATATTAAAAATAATTTTATTTCAAACATTTTAACTTTTAATATTTTTTCAATTTTTTTTTTTTTTGGTAATTACATAATTAGCCCAAATGAAAATCACAGCAGTGATTCCTTCCTTTATTTATGAGTAGTGTTATTTTAATTCAAAAGTTAAACTTACTTAATGTGACAGTCTATTAGAATATTTAAGATAATTCTCTCTCTCTTAAGTTTTTTTTAATTATCAATTAATCATTTATTTTATATATCTCTAAAGTCTAAAAAGTGAATCTAAAGAGTAAATTTTTATGTCATTTTCTTTTATATATTTATTTATTTGGAGAGGGGTTTCAATTTGCAGACCAACTCATGAAACCCAGTCCTATATTACAATGGAAAATATTTGGTAGCCCAAAATTTTGTGACTCAAATGGCTCAAATCTGTCAAAACGACGTCGTTTTACACCCATTTATACTCAAAACAACGTCGTTTTGAGTGATTTGAGCTATTTGAGCCACAAAATTTTGAGTCACCTAGCATTGTTGTATTACAATATAGTATAATGCAATTTGCACTCCTAAAATGAATTTTCTTCCTCCATATTCTCTTAGGCCCCGTTTGTTTCGTTGGATATAAAATGGAGGATATAATATGATGTGGGATTTAGTCAGGATATATAATGAATAGGATATAAGTATTGGATAGTATATCCCCCAAGTCATGTTTGTTGACTTGATATATAAGATTAGATATATGTTATGCATGTTTGTTTTACAAAATATATTGTGGGATATAACAAGTAATTTCCAAGAATTCAAAATTTGTATTAAATTATATTATATTAAATTAAATTAAATAATATAATATTATATTATATTAAATTCAATAATATTTATATTATATTAAATTCAATAATATTTATATTATATTAAATTCAATAATATTTATATTATATTAAATTCAATAATATTTATATTATATTAAATTCAATAATATTTATATTATATTAAATTCAATAATATTTATATTATATTAAATTCAATAAATATTATATTATATTAAATTCAATAATATTTATATTATATTAAATTCAATAATATTAAATTAAATTCAATAATTATATTATATTAAATTCAAAAAAATATATTAAATTATATTATGTTAGATAGAAAAAAGGGTAAATTGGACTTTTTACATCATATCCCCACCAAGGGGATATGATATAATGGGGGGGGTGTGGTATTGTATATCCTCCACTTTTGGGGGATATATAATCCCACCGGATATTATATCCCCTTCAAAAAAAAATTGCAAACATGGGATATATGGACCCCACCGGATATAATATCCAATCCCAATCTTTATATCCCCCAATCAAACAGGGCCTTAAGTCTTACCTAATAATTCTGTCACGAGTTTTCAGAATTTGTTTCTAATTTTTTTTAAGAAAAAATAAATTAATTAGACAATAAATAAACGCAAAAACAAGATATTTTTGAATTTAATTTAAAGTATGTCATTTCATTCTTTATATTGGCTTTGCAATGAAAGCATAAGTTTTGGCCCCAGTTTTTTTTTTTTTTTTTTTGGTGAATTTTTTTTCATAATTTGATCAATTTTGTTTTTCCAAACATTTTCACCAAAAACTGTCCAAGACTCATTCTTGTAGATGTCTTTTCACATCAATTGTGATGGAAAAATATCAATTTGAATTGAATGGATTTAAAATGATGTTAGTGCATGGATGGAGATTATAAATTTTCTCGTTTTCATCCATTAAATAATATTTAATTACTTGCAATTTTGTTTTCCCATATGCTCCAAGTGATTCTAAGCTAAAAGACACTGAATTATTTTATTTTATTTTATTTTAAAATGGATGAAATTTTGAAAATTCTACTAAAAACAATTAAAGCCTCTTTTTTTTGGTGGAATTTTAAAATTTGGTTAATTTTTTAGGATAGTCTAGTCGGCGACAATGCCGCCTTTGACTATCACTATCGATTGTGATGGTTACTGCCACAGGGATTGCAGAGCGATAGAGGTTTGTGAGAGGTTTGACAATTGCCACATGAGACACTGAACTAGGTAATTACCAATGTTTTTTTGTTTTTTTTTTGAACTTGTGAAAATAAGGAAACAGACATCAAGGAAATGGTGCAGAAGCCCCACAGAGATTAGCAAGGTCAAGTGGAGGGTTGGAAACTCAGTCGATGGGCAGCTGATTCCAAAAAAAGGCTTTTGCCACCCAGTGGGCCACTGAATTGGCTGATATGGGTCACCAAGCAAGTTTGAACCTGCCTTGTGAAGTCATGCATCCGATATCGCGAATAACAGCCTCACACTCTCATGGAGGAACCGATTCTAAGACACTGAGCAGGATGACCCTTTGATTATCCCCTTCAATTTCCACTTCAAATAGATTGCAAGCTATGGCGAGGAGGCAAGCCAACCGACACGCTAGAGCTTCTCCTTGGAGAGGGGAAGACACACTACAAAAAAAATTATTTTTTGCGACGGCAAAACGCCGTCGCAAATACCCCAATTGCCGTCTCAAAAGGTTTTTGCGACGGTAAAATGACTTTTTGCGACGGCAAGTGGGGGTCGCAACAAAAGGGGTTGCAAAAGGGTTTTAGCGACGGCAAGTGCCGTCGCCTTTGCTTTTGTGACGGGAAAATTCTTTTTTTGCGACGGCAAATTTCTGTCGCCAATAATAGATGAAAATCTGAATTTTTTTGCGACGGCACCGTATTGCCGTCGCTAAAAGGGTTTTTTGCGACGGAAAAAATACCGTCGCTAAAAGTGTATTTGAAACAACAACCTAAGCCATTGCTAATGACTATTGTCGACGGCTATGATACTGTCGCTAAAGGCCTTATTTTTCAATAATATTCCCTACCTTTTGCGACAGTAGAGGTGCCGTCGCAAAAAGCCTATTTCAAATTTCTTTTTGAGACGAGATGTTCTGCCATCTCAAAAAAAATTAAAAAACAAAAAACAAAAAAAAAACCTATAATAAAAATATTAAAAATATAAAAATGACTTATATTAAATGAAAAATAACTATAAAAAAAACCAATAATTATATAATATAAAAATGACTTATATTAAATAAAAAATAACTATAAAAAAACCAATAATTATATAATAATTAAAAAGTCCAATATATAAATAAAAATTCATCTATAATTAAAAAGCAAGTTATATTCTAACATTAACAATTCCATCTTCTAGTTAAATGTAAAATACCACTGAAACACTGCAACATAAAAACAAAGCCAAGGGCAAAAAAAACAAAAAAATGTACATAAGATGGTCACTAGCTACATTAATACTGGAATTGCTTTAATTACATATCATATAAGATTAACCCAATCCATTCCATGATTGTAATTGTTTTCTGGCACATAAAAAATATTTCCAAACTCTTCCATCCCAAACTCCCCTAGAAAAGGTGGATCCATGGCTTCCATGGAGAACAATGAAGTCGGGCTGTTGCTTGAAACACCATCGCATCTCTCCAGTAGCCTCTGTATCTCCTTCTCTACCTCGGAAAGCTGTTGAGGTTGAAGAAGATACAACAAAAGAGCCAACTCAGTATCTAAAAAATATACTTGAATTTAAAATTCAAGGCTTCAACCTAACAGACATGCAGCTCTATAAATTTTGAGTTGAAAGAACAAATAAAAGGATTGAAGAATTACTCCAAGAGAACAAAACTCTATAGGAAAAATTGAAAAATATTCATCAAATGATAGTAAATCAGAATAGGAAACAAAATTAAATTAGACTTCCTTTTTGAAAATTGCAAACTAAGGGTTGACGAAAATTCACAATTTTACGGCACTCTAGAAAGATATTTAGTACATTAATGATTATTGTATGAGATGATGATCAAGAATACTCATAGCCATAGTCTATATATATATGCTTTTCTGCAAGTTGTGAAACAGAGTAATTATATTTGATTTAGTGATATGGTGACAACAAAGAGTAAAACGTCAGGCCTAAAGGATTGTCATCATTTGAGCAACATTTCTTCACCTATTAGTGAGGACTGGGGAGTTTAAAACTAAACCAATGAAGATGTTTACCTTAAGACGGACGATGAATTAAAAAATGTAGAGAGGGATTTTAATAAACTTAAACTTCAACATAGGTGATCTTGGGCGAAAGAGATCAACTATTTGAGATGGTAAAGAATTGATAAAAAAAATTCTTTGATAAATCAATTATATATTTAAAAAAAAAAAAAGAACATAATTGAACAGACATCTGCCAAATGCATTTTTTCTTCTAAAGAAGGCCACACTAAGCTCGCACAGTGCTGTATGTCAAAGACACAAGCACAAGCTCAAGCTCAGCCTATTGGATACATACAACTGCCACATTAACAGAAAATAAGTGTGCTAATAACATGATGAAAAAAGAACAAGAGGTACCTTAAATATGTACATTGATTGAATGATCATCGGCCTCTTGTAGTCTAAGGATAAGAGTAAGCTTGATAGTTTCTCCGAGCAAGAGAATTTTTTGAAGACTGGATCAATCTCATGCAGCGCTACACAAAACATACAATATGAGTGGCAATACAATGTATTCACCCAAAAAGAGTGGCAATATAATGCCAACCAAAAAGGCATAACAAATGTCAGTGTACCATCCACTCATATCCTCTTTTCGATCATTTGGATTGTCATAGCAATTCATTTACTAACTTTATTAGAATCCAAATAAGATTATTGAAATTTAAAGATATAAATGAAAACATTCAAAGTAATTATAGAATTTAAGGGGATGACAGAGATGATATGAATTCTCCACATACATACATCCAAGAAGGAAGAAGAAGAATAGTATTCCCCACATACCATGTCCAACTTTGTTAATTGAGAGTTGCTTTGGTTGCTTTACGTTACCATCTTCATCAAATGCTTTCTGTGTCCAACAATACCAAATGTCAACATGGCCATGTAGCCAACATTCTACAAGGGCTACAACTAAAAAAGTCACTGAAATTAAAAAAAATAAAATTTTAAATGGAAAAAAGGTGGGGGGAAATTAAAATACTGCTTGATTAGAATTCTAGAAGTGAACCTGTTTCACAGCACAGCAGCAATCAAAGCATTTTTAACTCTTTAAAAAGAGTACAATAGAAATACTATCTACACCGTATCTAAAAGTTAAAACAAACAATGATTTTTATCTAGCTAATAGATTAAAAGAATCAAATCAAACGTAGAACCATGATCTCATAAAAATAAAATTAAAAAATTAAAACAAAACAAAAAAAAATATTATAAACAAAAAAGAAAAAAAAACTAAGCCATCTTTCATAGTACTACTACCTATAGAAACATGACTGCAAAGCCCATATCCATTTGCCTTGCACCTGGTGGAGGCATTGTCTGCCTTGCACCTGGTGGAGGCATCTCCATTTGCTCAACAATCCTTCGAATCTGGGGCTCAAAGCCCATATCCAACATTCGATCAGCCTCATCCAAAGCCAAATACTTGATCATCCGAAGAGAAACTCTTGCCCTCTCTATCATATCTACTAAGCGCCCCGGTGTGGCAACTAATATGTCCACACCCCTTTCCAGATTACGGAGCTGCATAAGCACAGGTTTGCCCATTTACCCACAAAAACAGAAACAAAAAAAGTTAAGTGCATGGAATGTGTTGGACACAAGTAAAAAAATCAAAGAAATCATTGATATTTCACATTTCACAACCCTCAATCTGGTCTTCTACATATTAGAATTCTTGCAACACTCCAACTTCAATTGCACAAGAAAGAAATCCAAAACGTCAAATCCAAGGGAAGGAAATACAAATTAGCACTATAAACTAGTCAAAGAAATCATGTATTGGATGCATGAGCAAAACTTCTGATTTTGTATAAAGAAATTAACGTTGATTGAAGGAAATGAACTTACTAGGCAGACACAGTTTAAGTGAATAGATCTACTATGATTTTTGATAACTTTCTACTCTCTTTTCAGAGTGTGACACAGGAATAAACAATGGGGAAAACTTACAGGACTCTTTCATAGTAAGATTCAATAGTAGGTCTCCAAGATGGAAAAACTTCTGGAATTTCCTAGCCAGACAACACCAGAAATAATGTTTTCACCTTAGGAATCATGTACCCATTGTACAAAATGTATGCTAAATGACAGATCACAAAATGCAGGAGAAATGAAATTGTTATATGAGGACACATTAAGAGAACATAAGATCAGATTTCAGATTACACAGTGTGATCAACTAAGATCAACATTTCAGATTCAGATTAACATACAGACATTACAGACATCACAGAATGAGGGAGACATTACACACACAGATTCGATCGGTGCAGTGTAGAGATGAGAGATCAGGAAGAGAGTGAGAGAGAGAGAGAGAGAGAGAGAGGCTTACCTGTGAGACAGTGTGAGTCTATCGGGGCGAGAGAGGGAGGGACAGAGATGAGACTAATCTGATGAGATGAGAGAGTGAGGGAGACAGATTAGATTAGAGATATATCTGATATATATATATATATATAAAACAACCATCGGGCCGAGAGAGAGAGAGACAGAGATTGAGAGAAAGAGTTTACCTGTGAGTAGATCGGCAGTGCGATGATCGGTGCGAATCGATGAGATGAACAACGAGAGAGTGATCGGTGCAGAGATGAACGAGATCGGTGCAGAGATGAACGAGAGGGTGAGAGAGAGAGAGGCGACTGAGAGAGTGATGTAAGGGAGACGATTAGATTTAGGGTTTTTTTGGGTTCTAGAATTGGGGGGGTTTTTTTTGGTTCTAAGAATTGGGATTTTGGGGGGGCGCGAGGATGGAAAAAATGGGTTTTTTTTAATATATTTTTAAAAAATTATATTTAAAAATAATATTTAAATAATAAAAATATTATTCATTTTTTATTTTGTAATAGAAAAAAAAAATTAAAAAAAATTCATCATAAATGAATATTTAAATAATAAAAAATAAATAAATAATAATTTTTATTTTTTTTCGTTATTAAGGTTGAAAATTTATTTGTTTCATATATATTTTAATGAAAAATATTTTCACTAAAATAAAAATGAGGGGGGATGAGAAAAAAAAATAAAAAAAAATTTCATCATAAATGAATATTTAAATAATAAAAATAAATAAATAAAAATTTCATTTTCTTTTCGTTATTAAGGTTGAAAATTTATTTGTTTCATATATATTTTAATGAAAAATATTTTCCACTAAAATAAAAATTAATTTTCTGTAGTCAATGAAAAATATTTTTCTGCGGCCTACTTTTTTTTATTACTAAAAATCATGAACTAATTTTTATGGTAGAGGAAAAGAACGGCAGCAGTAGTGAAGTGGTGGACAAGAGATGATGGTGGTGGTGATGGTGATGGCGAAAGAGATTAGTGGTAAGTTGTGGTAGTGGTAGTGTAAATGAGTGGCAGGGTGAAAGAGAGGTAATGGTAGTAGTAATGGCAGTAATGGCGACGGTGGTAGTGGAGGGTGGCGATAGTAGGTAGTAATGGTAGTCGCTAGAGGTGAAATGGCGACAGTAGAAGAATGGTGGTAGGGAATGGCGTTTTGGCAGTAGTGGTGAAGGTCGTAAAAGAGATGGGTGGTTGGAGAGAGAGAGAGAGGAGATGGTGAGAGACAGATAGAGAAGAGAAAGAGAGAGAGCAGAGACAAAGAGCAGAAGTGATGAGCGAGAGAAAGAGAAAAAGTGGTCGCTAAAAGTGCATTTTTCTGTGTAGTGGAAAGCTCAGTAAATAGAGAGAGATGGAGGAGAGAATGCAATGCGTGAACAACAAGGGGGAAGAGACAAACAGACACATAGAGAGAAAGAGTAGAGAGAGACAAAAGTGGAAGAGAGACAAACAAACAGACACAGAGAGAGAAAGAAAGAGAGAAGAGTGAAGTAAGGAGAGAGAAGATAAAAGGAGAAAGAGATATAGAGTGAGAGAGACAGAAGGACAGAGATAGAAAAATAGAGAAGAGAGACATATAGAAAAATTAGAGAGAAACAAGAGATGTAGAGAGACATTAAGAAAGAGAGCTAAAAGAGATGAATGATAGAAGAGATAGAAAATAAAATAGCAGAGTATAGAGAAGAAAGACTGAACGCTTTTATGAGCGAGAGAGACAGGAGAGAGAGAAAAGAGCAGACGGAGATGCAAGTAGTGAAGCGAGAGAGACAGAGAGAGAAAAGAGATGATGAGAGATAGAGACGACCAACACGACGAGATGCAGCGAGAGAGAACATAGAGAGAATGACCAAGAGAGAGAAGAGAGAAGACAAAGATGAAGAAAGACACACAGACAGACAGACAAACAATAGATAGACAAACAGACATGAGAGAAGTGATGGTGAAGAGAGAAAGAGAAGAGGGTGGTAGTGAATGTCATTTGCAATAGTGGTAAATGTGGTAGAGAAGATGGGTGGTGAGAGAGCAGATGAAGTAAGAGACTGAATAGAGAAAAGAGATAGAGAGACAAGTGATGAGCGAGAAAGAGACAAAGTCGTCGCTTAAAGTCACATTTTCTATGTAGTGATCGATAAATCGATAGAGGAGCTCCAATAAATAAAGAAGACAGATAATTCAAAACTCTGTTCAAAACTTAATTCAAATCAATTTTTTAAATATTTTAAATATGTTAAAAATATTTTAATTTTGTAAGAGACAGATAAAGAAGAGAGATAGCGAGTTGATGAGCAGAGAGAGAGATAGACAAAAAGTGGTTGCTAAAAGTTGTATTCTTTTAGGATCGATAAATCGGGAAGAGCTCGAAAATAGAGAAGATGTGAGTAAGAGAGATAAGCAAGGCGAAACATAGTAAGGAGAAATAGACAACATGGACAAGTAGACACAGAGAGAGGAAAGAAAAGGATGAGTAGAGAAAGAGAAAAGGAGAGAGAGATAGACAAGAAAAAAGATAGAGAGAGAAAAGAAGAGATAGATGAAGATAGAGAAAAGAGATGAGAAACAAGATGAGAGCGAGAGATAGACAAAAAAAGAGAGAAATAGAACGGAAAAGAAATGACGAAAGAGAGAACACCAGAAAAAGAGAGAACAGAAGAGAGAGAGAATGAAGCGGACGAGAGTAGAGAGAGATAGAAAGATAAGAGAGAGGAAGAGTAAAACAAGAAAGAGATAGAGATAAGAGAGATCACGAGAGATGAATAGAGAGAAGAGAGATATGCGAGAGATCACAGAAGAAAATTGATCGGAGAGAGAGAAACAGGCAAGACATAGAAAAGAGACGAGAGATAGATGATAGAGAGAAATGAATGAAAAAGCAGAGTAAAGAAACGAACGAAGAAGATAGAACCAGAGAACAGCGAAGATTGAAAATAAACTGAAAAGGAAATTTATATCAAAGCAGTAGACGACATTTATTTTTAAATTCATTTTGCAACAGGAAAAGAAATTAACCGTTGATTTATTTAAAACCATTTTCGACTGTATACTATATGAAGCATCTCAAAGCCCAACACTATGCTAGCTTAGAGTTTCCAAAAACTCTTTGAGAAAATGTTAATTTCTTGCTTTCTGTTTTGTTCTTTCTCTTTATTGTTATATTTTTTTAAGTTTTTAGCACAACATACTCAAAAATTTTAAAAATGTAAAAAAATCTTTAAAAATTCACTAAATTACCAAAAAAGTATAAAAAATACAAATAATTCAAACATTTGTTTTGTCATTTTTAGTGCTATTTATATTAAGATTTTATAAAAGTATTTTTTCACTATTATTTTTAATTTTTAGATACATCTAAGAAGGTACCATACTAAAAAAATAATATTTAAATTTTTAAAAAATATTCACAAAAAAAAAAAAACACGAAAGCACTTTTTGTGATGGTTTAGAAAATGCCGTCTCAAAAAAGCAGAGTATTTGCGACGGCACCATTTGCCGTCTCAAAAAATGAGAGTATTTGCGACGGCAGAAAATACCGTCGCAAATACTCTTATTTTTTGAGACGGCAAACAGTGCCGTCGCAAATGCTCTGCTTTTTTGAGACGGCATTTTCTGCCGTCGCAAAAAGTGACTTTTTGAGACGGCAACTGTGCCGTCGCAAATAGTTCTGTCTCATATACCCAATTTTCTTGTAGTGACACATGGACTCTCTTTGCCAAGCCATCGAGCAATCTCCTTGGTGAGTCCCGAAGAACAACAGTCACAGCAGCAAGATTGGAATGTTCTATTGTAGCTACATCACAATTAATTTTAAAGACTCCAGGGGGGGAGGGTACCAACTAAGCAAGCTTCAGAAAATTCCAGCTTAGCCACTCGAGCTCGATGTAAAGTCGAGGAGGGCTCCACCATTTGGTGATTAAATACGAAATCATTTCGAGTCTTCCAGATGAACCAACCAATCCACACAATTTTACTAAAAAAATAAATCCCTGTCTTCCCCATGCTTGAACTGAAGCATAAGCTCACTGGACCACCTCAAGGCAGAGTGAATGTCCTTCCAATCAACTCTATGATTCAGGTCACTCCCAAACCAGACTGGACTGGAGCAACCCACTCATATCCGAACAATAAATGCTCAACAGTTTCGGGGGCCTTCAGGCAAAGAGGACATAAGGGAGATGGGGTACAATGGCGCTTCCATAGGTTTGCTTTGGTAGCCAAGGCATTGTTGCACACCCTCCACCAAAAGTGCCGAAGCTTGAGGGGTACCTTCAAAGCCCAAATAAGATTCCAGAAATTGTTAGGGGCTTGAAAGGAGGATGAGGAAATAATTGAATATAACTAAGTTATGAGTTAATATGGTGATAGTTATGACTAATATGGTATAGGTTATGATATAAAATCATATAAGTTCATAACTAAATGTATGGTACACCTAAATGTACCATAGCATCACCCATGGAGACAATAGCTTGGACTTCAGGTTCAGTGATTAGGTTCCGTAAGAAATCAATTTTCCATGTCTTTGAGACCTCATCAATTACATCAGCCACTAAATCCACATTTGTATCCACTGGTCTGGGAGAGATGACCTTAAAGTGAGGCAAAGATGGAATCCATTTGTCCTCCCAGAAACGGGTTGTAGCACGACTATACACTACTCGACTCCTCAATCCTTGCTGAAGCTGAGTCCGGCCTTGAAGCAAACTAGCCCAGGCCCAATAAGCACGCCTGCCCCGAGCAGCTTGCATAAAGTTTGAGTGGGGAAAGTAAATTTCTTTCATTATACGGGCATAGTAAGAGGGGGG